TGGCATCTCATTCTGTCACCCAGGCTAGAATGCAGTGGCGTGATCTTGGCTCACTGCAACCTCCAGGTTCACGTAATTCTCCTGCCTCAGCCTCCCGAGTAGCTGGGATTACAGGCATGCACCACCACACCCAGCTAAGTTTTGTATCTTCAGTAGAGACAGGGTTTCACCATGTTGGCCAGGCTGATTTCGAACTCCGGATCTAAGGTGATCCACCCCACCTTGGCCTCCCAAAGCCCTGGGATTACAGTCGTGAGCCAGTGCACCTGGCTAAAATGATGCAAAACTCTAAATCACATAGCAGAACTTCTGCCAGACTCAGTTGAAATAGTCAAAGCCCACCCAGAATCAAGGGGAGGAGGCATAGCCCCCCACCTCATAGTGGAAGAAGCATAAGAATTTGTGGCCATTAAAAAAAAAAATTGGTTTTATTGTGGCAAAATACATATAATATTTACCATCTTCACCATTTTTAGTTGTACAGTTCAGTGCTATGTGGCCATTTTTTAAAAATCACATGAAGTTTTTAAAAAGCAAGTTGTGCGAAATAGTGTATAAATACATACAATCTATTTGTAGATCTTTCGATCTTCAAATGTAAAACGCTTATAACAGCCACCTACTCCCGAGTTCCTCAGTTATGTCTTATCAAAACGTAAAGTGTTTTTCTCACTGATTTCACAGTGAAGTATTAGCCTCAGAAGAGACATAAAAAGATTTTCTTTTTTTTTTTTTTTGACGGAGTCTTGGGAGTACAGTGGTGTGATCTCGGCTCACTGTAAGCTCCAACTCCTGGGTTCATGCCATTCTCCCACCTCAGCCTCCCGAGTAGCTGGGACTACAGGCGCCCGCCACCATGCCCAGCTAATTTTTTGTTTTTGTATTTTTAGTAGAGATGGGGTTTCACTGTGTTAGTCGGGATGGACTTGATCTCCTGACCTCATGATCCACCCACCTTGGCCTCCCGAAGTGCTGGGATTACAGGCATGAGCCACTGTGCCTGGCCCATAAAAAGATTTTCTATGTATAATTTGCATATTTTGGAGTTTGTTTTGAAACAATGGCTGCAAGTCCCCAGCAAAATTACCACTCTACAAGAATACAGTTTAAGTGCCTAGTTTTGTTAAGTAGTGAATTTATTAGAAATCAATTGAAGGCCAGGTGCCG